ATTGATCAAAGCAGTCAGATGGTACAAACAGGGCCAATCATAGCCCATCTGTATCATGTGATGAGCTTTGCCCAATCACAGCTAATCACATCAAAAGACTGAATGAATCAGTTTCATTCAGTAACAATAATTGAAAATATCAATTAAATACATTGGTATTAGCAATTATAATGTGTAAAGCAAAAAAGTCCTGATCACTTGCCTAGAGTAGTTCAATGTTACTATGGTAACATTGTATTGCTTTGGTCACAGAAAAAATATTGTAATAAAAAACAAAAAATATATAAAAATTAAAAAAAAAAGAAAATATTGTTTTGATTTTTTTATATACTGTCACCAATCAGTGTTCCAGATTACTGCACACCAGATGACAACCTCCAAAAAACTCAACATGCCTCTTACTAAATACCTTGGACTGTCTATTTTCCAAAAATGGGCAATTTGGGAGGTATTTGTACTATGCTGGAGTTTTCAAGCCTCAAGAAATGAGATTGGCCATCAGTACATTGATTGATCGATTGACAGATACATATGTACCATGGTTTGTGGACTCTATAACTTTCCTACAGACTAAATAAGATACACTAATTTGGGGTATTTTCATCAAAGAAATGTAGCAGAATACATTTTGACCTAAATTTATGAAGAAATGTTATTTATTTGCAAAATTTTATAACAAAAACAAAGAAAAGAGTTTTTTTTTTTTTCAAAAGTTTCAGTTTTTTTTTGTTTATTTAGCAAAAAATTAAAAATTCAGTTATAGGTATATTATATACCATACCTATTACATTGACTCAGTCATTCTTTAATCGGCTTTGCAGAGCATTCCTGACTTTTATCTGGCATGATAAACACCCTAAATTGGCGTATGACATCTTGTGCAGACATAAGCTGGAAGGTGGGGTGGGGCTTCCTGACGTGGCTTTATATTATAGAGGCATGGCCTTGGTGCGCATTCTTAACTGGCAACATGATGACTGTGGGGGATGGAGTGGTTGGAAGAGTAGAGGAGTTCAGTATTAGCTGAGGGCGGGTAGTCTTCCCTGAAGAGATAGGTTTTCAGAGTGCGCCTAAAAGTGAGCAGAGTGGGCGATAGTCTGATGGATTGGGGTAGGGAGTTCCAGAGGATGGGGGAAGCCCTGGAGAAGTCCTGGAGACGAGCATAGGAGGAGGAGACAAGAGAGCTAGCAAGTAGGAAGTTGGTAAAGCCATCCGGACCCGGGCTCTTGCCCAGGGGAAGGGCGGTGACAACCTTTTCCAGTTCTCCTACAGTGATCGGCCGTTCAAGATCTTCGATAACACTAGAGGAGAGCACAGGGAGAGAGGAGTCCTTTAGGTAGTTCTGTATAGAGTGGAGCTGAGTCTCGAATTCTGTGGTGGGCGGATTATTAGGGAGACTTTTTATGTTTTATGTTTAATTTCACAACCTCCTTCTGTTTCTCTTTTTTACTCTTTGAGCCATGGGCAATCAATTCTCCCCTAATTACGGCCTTGTGGCCTTCCCAAACCGCCTGTGTGGACGCGTTGCCAGCAGAATTAGTTTCAAGATAAAACTGTAGAGAGTGGGAAACCGCTTCGACCACAACTGGATCGTCCAGCAGGTTCTTGTTAAGCCTCCACATCATTTCAGTCCTGTAAGCTGCTGGGGGATGAACAGACAACACCACAGGGGAATGATCAGAGATGGTAACAGAACCAATGGATGATGCAAGTGAGTCATGCAAATAAAGCTGGTCAATAAAAATTAGATCCAAACATGAATAGGAATCATGCGTCTTGGAATAATAAGTATATTCTTTATCCCGAGGATGCATCACCCGCCAGCTGTCCACCAGATGAAGATCACGCAAAAGTTGTTTAACATGCCTCAATGCACGAAAAGACAGAGAAGTTTTGCCAGAGGATGCGTCCAAACAAGGGTCCAAGGAAACATTAAAATCACCCCCCAGAATCACCATACCCTCCCTAAAATCCTTCAATTTCTTTAGGGTAGCGGACAGAAAGTCAACAGTGCAGGAGTTTGGGGCACAAAGAGTCCCAAATGTGTACATATGACCATGTAAGGAGCCTTTCAAAACTAAAAAACAACCTTCTGGATCAATTTGCTGAGACAAAAGAGAAAATAGGCAGGACTTCCGAAAAGCAATTGAAACCCTTCTGGCCTTAGCAATAGGGGATACACTATGATACCACTGGTCAAAAGTCACGAGTGGCATGCGAGGAATAGAGGTGTTAGAGAAGTACGTCTCCTGTAAAAATATAACATCAGGGGACAGATGATGCAATTCCTGCCAAAAGACGACCCCTCTTCTGAGGTGAGCACATCCCCTGAACATTATAGGACAAGAAATGTAAAGTATTCAACTTGCTTGATAGGTACAGTATCAATGTGGAAGCACAGTCAGACGGGTGCCATGCACTACTCCCCCCAGTCGACAAAATGAAATGCACTGGGTAGATATAATTAGACAGAAAAACATGAACTCCTACAATCACCTGGATATAAATCAAAGCAAACCAATTAAAAAAACAAAAAAAGGAAAAAAAAAAAGGGGTAACCAATTCCGCATGGGAAGAAACGGACCTTCTAGAGATGACTGCCGCGAAGAAGGGAAAAAAGCCTCTCCCCAAGGGGTTCCATCTCCACTGAAAAAATGCAGAGTAGAAGTCCTTCACCAGAAGACCGGCCTAATGTGGGGGATATGACTAAGGACACAGCAAGAGCGTCAAGCGGCCACCTCAGGACAAAGTCAATAGACAAGAACCGTATATAAAACAGTATAAACAGCAGCATTATGAAAACAGCAGCATTATAAAAATGAAAAAATATATGATTAGGTAGACTCAACATAAGTTCAAAGGCAATATGAGAAAACTTGCAATCATTAAGGCAGTCATAATCAACCTAGCAATAAATGTGAACTAGAACAAATCATTCTGGAAGGAAAGAAGCAGAATCTGGACCCCTGCGGCCTGTGCGATTTCTTCTACGAGAGCCTGAAGATGCCTGTTGCCAACAATCCTGTCGTCATGGAAGCGGGATGGAACTATGTAACCTCCCATTAGGAAAGTCAGTCGGTCAAAGTTCCAGTGTGGCAAGGAAGTGCGATAAGTCATCCTTAGTACCCAATGTTGCAGTTTTTCCACCTCGGGACGCAGTCAGGCAAAAAAGAAAACAACAATAAGGTACACTGGCTGCACGCAGGGCACCTAGTAGGGGGCGAACAGCAGACCTTTGCATAAGAGTCCTTCTGGACAAATCTGGGAAGAGCGCTACAGTGGCCCCATCAAAATCAATACATGGAAAAGTGCAAGCAGTTTTCATAATCACCTCTTTCACCGAATATCTGTGCAACTTACAAATAATGTCCCATGGTTTATCAGCAGCTTGAGGCACAAGCAAGGGAGCTCTATAGACCTTGTCCAATTCAAGTGCTTCAGGAGCAGTGCTGCCCAAAATCTGTCGGAACAGGCCCTGTACCGTAGGTAGTAGATCTGGAGTGCGGGTTGCTTCAGGCAGGCCGCAAATGCGAATATTCTGTCTCTTGTCCCTGTTTTCTTGATCATCCAGCTGATTGAGTAAAGTGTTGAACACCTCTTCATGATATAGAACAGTCTCCTGTAAAGTAGTAATAGTCTGCAAAACATCATCATGGTTGGTCTCCAAAGCCTCCACTCTATTTCCCAGTGCAACAGTGTCCTCCCTAATCCCCACTATGGCCTACTTACAGGATAGCTCCATGGCTGCAATAAGTTGTTGTATGTCTGCCTTGGTGGGGAGAGCTCTAATATGTTCCCTAATGTCCCACTCGCCCTCAGCAGTACCAATCTCCATTAGAGGAGAGGACCTCTACACTGAGCGGGATGGGGACTAGGGACTAGAGCACAGTACCTGCGAGGAGAGCAATGGTGCAGGGGAGCCTCCACTGTGAGCAGGAGAAGAGCACTGGGAAGCCTCGTGATCCAGCGCCATCTTGGCGGCAGCCCCAGAGCCGGCTGAATGTGGGGCAAAAAAGGTTTGGAGCCCGCCTGCCCATGATCCGCCACCTCCAAGAGGGTGGGAGGTGGTGCGGCGTTTAGGAGGCATAAGTGGAGGAAGGCAGGGAAGCAGGAGATAGCTGCTGTACGATGGTTTCTGTCCCGGGTAGCCAGAGCTCACCGCTCAGACGTCTTCACACCATTTCGCTCAGTCCACGTCCCCCCAAAATCATATATATTAGTTATATGTTAGGATGGTGAAGAAGACATCAAACATCCAGAAAAGTTATCCCTGAAAGCACCATGAAATGAAAATGATATATACTTCATTATTTGTTTACATTCTTTATTTCACAAATAAACATCCAATACAATGTTGTAAACATTATAATCTGTTTACAGGGCGTGCTGGGCTTTAAAATAAGAAAGCCCAGCAACAGCTCTTCATTTTTTTTACTGTTTGTGCAGACTAAATGTCCATATGGTCGGGAGATAGCTACCCCCTCTAACACATTGAACTATGTGTGTGTGGTCTCATATTCCGGTCTGTTCACAGCACAGCCTATTCACAACATTGTAGTAAATTAATAAAAGTGTTAAACATAGAATATGTTCATAAAGTTCATATTAACATGATTAAAAAGAAATACTAATGTTTTTATCATAAACTGTATTTTTGTAGTCCTGGACATAAAAAAGAAAATATAGAAAAAAAACACATTCGCTTTAAAACAGGATTTTTAGCTCATCTCATGATAAAAGGAGCCCGTTCTGTTTGCTGACCTGTATTTGTAAAAAGGCCACACAAGGAAGGGCACAATGTTAATAACAAGTGGTAAGCTGACCTGTTTTATTATCTGGTCTCTTTTCCTATACCAGACATTACACTAAATTATAGAAAGGTCGAGCCTTTTAAACATGGGTGCGTTCTCTGAAATTCTAGTCCATTTCACTAAATAGCCTGCTTGGAAAGTGTAGAGGAAACTGACGTTTTTTTAACAAGGCCTAGTGATGTCACTAGATTAAACCTCGGGGTAGGCTGTGGCGATGTACCGCTTGCCATTTCCATAGGTGTTCTTGGTCCATTCATATGTTTGAATGGACATTTCATGCCCATCCATAGAGATTCTACACCTGTAAATAAAAATATTGAGAGATAACTGGTATTTTGTTCAAAAATCAAGAATAAAATAGCTGTAAACCCTAACTGGATGACATTTATTTTGTTTAAGCACCCCATATCACACTATTGCCATTTTTTTTCTTATCCCCTTCCTGCTGCTGCCTCCTGGCCCTTTAGGAGCTTTTAAATGCCAGGAGGTGGAGGAGGTCATTTGAGTCATGTGACTGCTGTGATTAGCTATCACAGCATTCACATGATCGGAAAAATCCTGATCAATAGTATGCTTTGAGAGTTTTCTGGTGCCTGTCGGTGTCTGTGCTGGGAGTGCGCACTAAGCACATTTATTGTGGGTTATTTATTTTGGGTCGCATATATGCGGCCTCTTGGTATTAAAGCCCACCTGCCAGGAGGCTGCATATATGCGCCATGTAGGCGGGAAGAGGCTAAATACAGTTTACACCTTAATTGCATTTTTTTTGCATCTCAGTGCTACTGATTTCCTCCAGCCTCTTTCAGCTATTTCCTGTCTACATGCACCTGCTCCAGCGTTGGCTGCAAATTATTGATCACGACTAGGGATGAACTTGGGTTTGTTTCAAATACGTTTGGCTGAACCTGAGCAGAAGCTGTCAGTGCCAGCCTAGATAGTTGCAGCTGGGGCATTCCCTACCCTGCAGCTGCACATATACACAGAGGCAAGGATGCTCATGATATCATGGATCTAATATGGCCACATGTCCATATGGCCATATTAGGTCAATTTCTGTATTTGGGCAATGACGAGTCACATGAGATGTGGACCTAATGGAGAATTCATCTCAGAGTACCCTATTAGGCCTCACCCATCCAATTCCACGGCTTTATGAATTACCTCCATTCTGTGTAGATAATAAATGACTGGTAACAAACTCTGTGATGGCTATAGATGGTATAATTATTTAAAAAGATTTGACATGTGTCTAACACATACTCAGAAAATTAATTAGGTAAACAGTGCACAGCAGCTGGATGTCATAGAACTCTGGCAATTACACAGGGAGAGCTGTGTTCTCCCTATGCAATGTTCAGAATTAAGCTATCATTTTGACAGGTATTATTGTAGCTTTCATTTAAATAATTACTGTGATGAGCAAATAATAAAAAATTATGAACCATAATTAGTTGTATTAACTGCCTCTTAGGACTTTTTTGTTGCTGATTTTTTTATTGTTTGTATGCAAACTTTTTAAATTTGTGTTTATAACACCAAATTTAAAAAAATGCTATGTACTAGAAATATAATTGTATTGCCTTTATAATGACAAATCACAGAATACCATTTGTAGTTAAACCTAATTCTTTTAATTAATTGCTTCATCCCCTTACCTTAGCTATCTACTTTTTAAATTTGTGTTTTATAATGCCAAATTGCATAAGGTGATGGGAGCAATTTGGCATCCTCACCCTGGGAGTCAGAGGACCGTGTTCTCAGCACTGATGGTCATTCTTTAAAATGTTTTGAATACTTGTCATGAAGGTTGATGTACAAGCTTATTCATGGTTGGCAATTGAAGCAAATTGAACAAGGTAAATTATGCAGACAAGCAGAGTAACATTGTTAAACGTACTTTTTTCCAGGACGAGCAATGAAGCACAAGCTATACATCGCAAAGTCAAATTCAGGGCTTGATCCAATGAACTGCGAGCCGACCTCTTTTAAGTAACCATCCCAATGAAACTGCTTACCCAGCACATCAGGATAGCTTGTCCACTAGAAAAGTAGAAAATATGTAAAATATATTAAAAATCTCTTTTAGAAATGAACGGTCATGTTTATGATGCGGCAAAATGAACAGAGACAAAGCTAAATCGTGTGCTTTCTTTCATTTTAAACAGTTTTAAACAGTGTCTGCCTACCATTATCAAGTCATCACCAAATCAAGACACATACACTGCCAGTATTTTAATATTCTACTCTTTAATGTCAAAGTCTGTTCGGTATGAAGCTAGTGGAGATCACTATAGAAACACTAGTTTGCGTATTTTCAAAAATGTTAGCGTTACTTATGTTTTGTACTTGGTATTTAGTATCTATTCCAGCCTTTCCCAACCTTTTCAACACAAAGGAACCCTTGAAATAACTTTCTGATCTTAGGGAACCCCTAAAAAATTACTATATCTACAATTCATGATACATTAGCGTGATGTGGTCATTGGGAAGAACTCTCCATTTACAGATGTCTAAAAAGATCAATGGTGTCAGTGGGAACTTATCTTATAGGCAGAAATTGCACATTGCTTAAGGAACCCCAGCAACCTCTGATGGAACCCCAGGGTTCCACAGAACCCTGGTTGAGAAACCCTGGTCTATTCATTCACCTGTGCACTAACTTTTGTTCACTGGCTCCCATTTGAAATCTGCTTACTTTCAAGGAATAGAGAGATCTTATTTTGGTATCATCTGTGCATTTTTAGTTCTAGATAATGTGGAACACACAGAGCAGTCTTCTTTTCTTTGAGGAGCGTTTGGTGAAATTTTTACTATATATGGAAATATATATTTATTAATTTCTTTTTGCTGTATATTACTTTATTGTATTTCTTCTTGCCTACTCTTAGTGTGATTACGGGTTGATAATATCTCTTTTTTCCACCTATGCATTATATGCTGCCATTTGTGATTTTCCTGTTGGGGTGCAGTTGGTCCCTTCCACAACTCCTGGGGCAGACACCCTGTAGTTGTCACCATCTGGAACTATTACAATAATTTTTAAAACAAATGTTCAATCGGATCTGTAGGCTTTGGTCTTATTACTAAATTATAGGGGTTTGAGCAGGACTTACCCCTTTTAAGGGGTGGGGGGGAGGGGGGTTGTTCAATCATTATTACTATTCTTAAATTTTGAAACATTGTTTTTTAGCTTGCAGACAAAATGTCAGTGGCATCTACTGCTGATGAAGTGAATGAATGTTCATGAAACGTGTAGAGTTCCATGATGCAGTCTGTACTGTATATTCAAGTGGAATTTTTTGAAAATTCAACATGAATGTCTTTGACCAAGATTTGCAAATACAGTTAGAAACTGTCTGTAGTGGATAAGCTTGTATATTTACAGATTGTTTGATATGAATAATAATAATGTATTTATCTATGTTGTTTGTGTTTTTGGTGTACCTCTGAAAAATCCCATGGGCACTTGGAATAGTTTATTTGAACTATATTCATAGAGATGTGAGGTACATCACTTCATGTACTAAATCACTATATGTACACTGTAGCAGCAGTGTATACGTCAGTGATCTTCAGTGATTTCCAGCTTGCAGAGGAATTGGCCAATCGGCCAGATTATGTAAAAATATCCATACCCGGAATTCACCTTTAACTTATTTAATTGTATATTCTTTATTTAATAAAATTGTTCAGGTTTTACAACAAATATGTAACATCAATGTGCACAGTATCAGAAAATGAAATACCTGTGAAATTAATGAATAATAAAGATCAAATGTGTCTCTAAAATAGTTAATCTATAAATCAGCAAAAAGTCAGGGGATGTAGAAACTAAAACGTATGCTCTCCTTTCTTATTCCAAAATATGTTAACTGGGAGAAGAAAAATAGAAAAAAAACCCAAAGGAAAAAGGGGGAATGTAAGGTAGGCAGTAAGGAACAGGAAATTAGTGAACAACCAAAATGTCAATTGTGCTAAATTACTCACTAGTTTCGAGTAATGCTTTTCCTCCATCAGAGTACTTAAAGGCATTCCAAAGGAATCATGTTTTGTTGTAATTTTCATTTAGATTGTGTGAGGAAAGGACTAGGTCCTCCATGTTGTTAATATTTTCAACTTTGAATACCCACAGTGACAGAGTGGGTGGATTTTTCAACTTCAAGGAAATATAAGACTTAACGGCACTGATTAAATGTCGAAGGGCTGATTTTTTGTAAATTTTAATTGGTATACCACATACTGAATTTTAAACCATGATCATAATAAATGAAATATGTAGAAACCCACTATACATTCCCTTTAATGATTCCCCTTGGTTCCCATGTTCACTTCTGCTAACTCCCAGCAAACACATATGCACCCCTGAAAAAATAGAATTTTATCCATTTGCATTTACCTTTACCGCCTGCTGTCATTCACATTATAATATATATTTGCAGAGTGAATATTCCTGAATGACCATGATAAATGCAGACAAATGTAGTTAGATTCGACTTCTTTAATAAAATATGGCTGCAAGTGTATTTCACTATATGACCCATATATGACGCATATGACTTTCCTCAGAAACAGTTTTGTATCACTTTGCATTTTGAACAGTAAATAATCAGTCATCTTGACAAATCTTTGATCAGAGGGGTTACAATAACTGGTTGGTAGGGGTCATAGTTAGTGACCTCTTCTCAGCCCTTGCATCTGGCCAGGGAAGTTCTCCTATGACAATGAAAGCTGTGAATTTAACTCAATTTTCCCATTCAAACAACCACATCTGAAGTGTCAACAAGGTGATATGTTGGTGGCTAATAATTAAATTGTATCGCAGTCCTTCATGACAAAATCTAATTGTTGTGTTTGCTCTGCTGCTGTTCTCTGGGTCTCAGGGACAGCTTGTCATACAGGGAATACTAAGTATGTTAAACCACATGACACATTGCTGGCCTGAAAGGGATATTAGCATCTCATCATTGCTTCCAAAGCCTCATTTTGTATGCCTGAATTGAATCCATTTTATATTGTTTGTGTATCTAAATTGAACTAAAGGAAAAGTTAAGGTCTCGTCCACGGCAACCAGTTTGTGATAGGGAGGGCGTATGTGTGTTTGTAGAGTTCCATTTTATTATAATGGTTTTGTATAGTTGTGTGCATATTATTTGCAGTGTATTGTTCTTCAAATGCAGAGCTGCCAGTGGTTTGGTGTGTCTCTGTCATTTGTTTTGAAATGTGGAGTTGCAGTACTAAATGCGGCATTGGCAGCTAGATAGCTACACTAAGTGTTGATAGTCCTATTGCAAGGGATTAAATGGTTCCCTTTTGCTGGGACCTGCAGATTTTAATTGTGGAAATCTTGGTATTGAGATGCAGATGTGTGTGTTGTAGCACCAGACATAGTCATCATTGACCATACTTGACTGAAGGAGGCTGGGACAAGTGCAACAATCAAAGGAAAGAGTAAACTGAGCCTGAAGGAGTATGGCCACCCACCCTGAAAAGGAACAAAGGGTTAGGCAAGTGAAGTTAAAAGAGCTACATGCTTGTGAGAAATTACTAATTAGTCATACAACCAATGTGTAAATGGCAGGAGATGGAACTGAAAGTTATACTTGGGTCACTCAATTGAGAGCAACAGCTTGCTGTTAGTTAAAGGAAACCTACATGAAGGAAAGTATGGGGGCTGCCAATGTAGACCTCCTTGAGAAAATGCTACTTGCTGGGCTTTCTGTGGTTTTACTAATTTCTCAGACATTGACACAGAACAAGCATACAGATTACGAAAGCCAAAGCAAAGTCAGAGCTCCTGACCTGCATACTTGTTCAGTAGTTAGTGATTTAAAAAGTAGTGAATCCACTGGATCACCATGACAGGAAACCGGTATTCTCCGATGGAGAGGTCAGCAATGGCAGCATAGTATCTTAGTACCTGTTTCTTTTGATTATGAGGATTGGTATAACCGACACTCATCTTCCTGAATAATAAACTTATAGTTTGGGAAGATGAGTGCCGGCCATACTAATCCTCATTATTCAGTTACATATGTGCTGGGAAGACACACAGAGCCAGATCACCAACATTCAACCTCCGTGGGAATTATCTCTGGGCATAGCACCTACATGTTCATGGATGTTTCTTTTCAGTCAGGGATGGTTGATTCAGCTGTATACCAAATGCTTATAGCATTTGGTGATCTTTTGACAAGTGTTCAGAAACTGGTGAGGAGCTATACAAAGCTCTGTAAAAATATGCAGAAATCAGCTAATTGTGAAAACCATCAAAACACCTAAAAAGATTCTAATATCTGCTTGCTAACCAACCCCGTTATTGGAATGGGGGCTGGTATTACTAAGCCCAAGAGTTTGTGAATGACTGTTATCTATGGAATACCGTAAGTGTAATTTTATTGGTTGTCTGAAAATGAGTGACTACCAATTGCTGACATGTGTAGGTCAGATCAAGTTATTATCAGGGGCGGACTGACCATTTGGAAACTCGGGCACTGCCCGAGGGCCCAGGGTCAGTAGGGGGCCCCATGAGATGCCCCTGGTACCTTTTTCATAGGCTTTTTTGAGTTTGGGCAAGGACACAGGGGGCCCATGATCCCCTATTGCCCAAGGGCCCCATGAGTTATCAGTCCACCCCTGGTTATTATTTAACTGTGCAGTGAGCAGTTAACATGCTGCTTGGCTAGGTGTTAACTAAATAGACTTGCTTAATATAGTCCTCTTTTCCCCAGCTTTCCTACAGCCTCCCACAGTGGTCAATAGCCCAGAGCAGAACTCCTACCACAACACTTCAAATTAAAATGAAAGCCTTAAAAATGGATGGCTGCCATAGTCCAAAATCTGAGAACTGACCGAAAAAGATTTATGCACTTAGGAAGAAACTTACCGGTCCATCAAAGTTGTGGCTGAAATAATTCAACAGTCCTTTCTTCTCTAAATGATAAAACCTGATCCAACTATGGAATCCAGACACTTTGCCTTTCTTTACTTCACCTAAGAAACAGCACAGTAAAAATTGATTAAAGAGTACACAATAAGTGTTAAAGAAAGGATATATTTTTTTGAAAACTCCTGAGCTTTAGTGAAACTCAGGAGTAACTCTGAATGTGTTATGAATTCGGAAAGGGTAGCTGATCTCCATGGATCTCACTTGAGATGAAAGTTAATTTACCTAACATATAGTTTAAGCACAATGGGGTGATGTCTAAGTAAAGGACTTTTTTGCTGTGCTATGCTACAAAATATGTTAACTGGCAAACACATTATATATTGTACTTTTTAGGTCAGTATAAGTTCTTATTAAAGCCTAAGTTGAGGTAAAAACATTGAAAAAAAAAATCAGCTAAAAGGATGTTACTTACATTTAATGCAAAGTGTCCTTTGTACTGGCTGTCATAGTGGAAATCCAAAGTCCTCTTCCCCCTCCCTTAACCTGTAGCAGAATTCTTCCTGTGCTAATAGAGCTGAGAGATATGTGAGAGGCACTCATCAAGAGTGCTGACTATGCCTTATCTTTCTGCCCTGTCCTCCATTCACAGAAGCTGCAATATAGCTTCTATGAAAGAAAGGAGCTCTATGAATAGAGGAGGCAAACCTTTCTATGAATGGAGGCGGGGGTGCAGAGGATGTAAATAGTCAGTACTCTTGTTGTGTGCCTGTCACAGGTCTATCGCTGATATTATCAGGGGGCAGAAGTTATCGGATTTCCATTAAGACAGCACAAGGGATACTTGGCATTAAAGTGTTACTAAATCCATGATCCTGCATTCACTTTTTCTGGTCTCCCACAGTACACACAACATGGAAATGGAATTATTTTGGTAAATATAAACTGCTAAATGCCTTTTCTCGTCAGCAGTATATAGCAGTCTTGTGACTTCTATCAGTGTCCAGTCGAGCACTGGTTAAAGCTTGTAGAAGTTTTGATTCTGCTCTAGGAGGATGCAAAACCCCTGACTCTCTGTCTGAACAGTACTGATTGGCCCTGTGCTGATCACATGCACTTCCCAAGGAAAAAAAAAACCTCTCTAGCAATACACACTAAACTGAGCATGTGTAGAATGGCTACGGTTCAGTCTGTCTTATCAGGAGATAAGACGTGGACATTTGAACCAAGACAAGAGGAGGAGCAGAGAAGTCAAGATCAAACTGCCTTTTTACACAATGCAGAGGATTAACCCCTTAGGTTCCAGTGAATATAACAAGCATGCTTTACTGCATATACAGACTGGTTTTACTGTTGTGGGTTTAGTAACACTTTAAAGTATAAAGCATTTTTTTCCATAGATTTTAGAGTAAAGAGGGGTTAGAACCCTTCCTTATTCTTTCCAAAATGGAAAAAATGTGGCCTTTTGTTCTGCTTTAGGTTTATTTATTCATTTTTTATTTAAACTTGCTTTTTGGAGAATGATTCTGGGTTCCACTATACCATCTTTCTAGCTCAAGGAACCTAGGAGTAGCAGCTCACCTGTCCACATTAGGGGCAGTTTTTTTGCACACAATCTCCACGCACTTGAACTGTGGAAGACATTGGTACTGAATTTGCTCTAGGTTAGTGTTTTGAGAGATGTTCCCTTTTTTCACAGACTTGCTAGCAATGTTCTGCTTCTATTTAAGGTGTCCTTTTATAAAACAGAGATCAGTGGCGATCCTAAGGAACCGCAAATGAAACAGAGATATTTTACCATTGCTTAGTAAACGGTGTTTGACTGATCTCTTACTGTAATTGCACGAGATAATAGTAACAGCAGCCGTTTTCCAGCGTTTGTAGATTGCTTCTCCCATCATTCGGAGAACTGATCTACACCAGTTCATAAAAAGGCATTCAGAGGAGAACTGTCTTCTCCGAGAATGGCAGAGAACTGAGCAGCTGTCATTTACTGCTGCATGATAAAAGGACACCTAAATGTAGTATAGTGAGACATCTAGTGGCAACATTCAGAACTTACACCAGGGGATCTGTTTTGATAGGAATAAGGGATGTCATATACCTAGAAAACTAGGAGGCTAGCAAATGGCAGTCTCCATAATTAGCTCATGACATTATAATTCTCTCACTTTAACCACTTCATCTCCGGACACTTTTACCTCCTTCCTGTCCAGTCCAATTTTCAGCTTTCAGTGCTATCACACTTTGAATGACAATTGTGTGGTCATGCAACAATGTACCCATATGAATTTTTTAGCATTTTTTTGGAGACAGATAAAACTTTATTTTGGTGGTATTTATTCACCACTGGGATTTTTATTTTTTTTTTTGCTATATAAATGAGAATGTCTAAAAATTATGAAAAAAGGATTTTTTTCTTATAAAATTTTGCAAATAAATAATCTTCATAAATCTTGGACAAAATTTATTCAGTTATATTTTTAGTAAAAAAAAAATAACCAAAATCTACAAACAACATACTGTCACTGTAGCAGTACAGTGTCACCATAGTGACACTGTACTACATGTGGGGGGTGATGAAGATTTTTTTTTTTTTTACACTGATTGCTTTTACACCCATAAAGGCTGTAAAAGCAATAATTTCTCCTTCTCTCTGGCTGCATTCTTGCAGCCATTGAGAAATACTTTGAGAGCTGTGATTGGTCACAGCTTGTCACATGGTACAAGGCTGTTGTGAATAGCCTTGTACCATGTGACCTCTGTGAACATTCACAGATTTCACTTAGGAGTAAGCAATGATGTCAGAAGTGACATCTTGCTTACTACTATTCATGTGATTACTGATTGGCCAATCAGTGATCACATGATCGGGACCTCACACAGAGGTCCTGTACAGCGATCGGTGTTCCGCTGTGTCCTCCAGACACAGCAGGCACTGGATCGTGGTGCCGCGCGCTCCCAGGGAGCGTGCACAGGCTGTAAATGTGGGCGCCGTTTATGAATGGCAACCCGCTCCTGCACTGCTCCTGTCCGGCCGTTTATGTACATGGGCTGAGTGGGGAAGTGGTTAAACACTAACACCAAAAAGTACCAGTACTGTGCTATGATGCCAAAGCTAAAAACTTCTGATCCAATTTTTTCTGACTCTATCTTCTAAAATAAAGTATGAAGAAATGAACGGATGAATATTAACCCCTTCGCGCCAGGGCCTCCCAGTGCTTTAAGAGGTTTCTGATGCCGGGAGGCGGGGTTTAGGGTCATGTGACCGCTGTGATTGGCTGTTACGGTAGTCACATGATCGGAAAGGTCTCGATCTCAAGGATGCAGACATGTGCTGGGAGCGCGCAGGGCGCATGCTCTCAGCACGTGTTTGTTTACAAGTGGTACGCAAATATGCAGCCACTTGGAATCAAGGCCCAGCCACTGAGAGGCCACATATTTGCGAGCGCTCAGTGTGAAGAGGTTAAAATGAATTAAATAGCATTTTTGGTTTGTGGTGCTCAGATGCAGCGGAGTTCCTTATTAAGGAGGTAGTTGGGGAGGGGGTAAAATACATGGCTCCATTGGATGTTTTTACCACACCCTCCGATCGCAAGTGTAATCATAGTCAAAGTGTGTCTCTGTCAGATCACCAGGTAAAAATAAAGGGAAAAAAGCCTGAATTAAAAAAAAAAAGCCACCACATCTAAGGACTGGCAAGCTGCAATATGTTACATTTTTGGCACTTGGGTTTGGATTTGCTTTAATACATGTGGCTTTAATCAACCAAAACTGAACAGCATAGAAAAGGTGTGATTAGACTCATATTGCATAAAATGATAAAGCTTTTCCTATTTGATTGCATGATATTCTATGGTGGAGTCTTTGTTGGAAGATGGATGTCAGACAACTGTAACAAATGTCAATACGCACCCACAAACACGTGCTCAAATCCACTTGAGTCTGTTTCTCCAGAGGACCTGGAATAAAGTCCAAACCACATCTTCTGCAGGTCATCAGCAAACTCCTCTTCTGACATGTATAGGCCTGTGTGGATGATAGTCAATGTTCTCAGTCATTTGACTGCTTTATGCAGATACTGTCATTTTATATAATACAGTTCAATCTAAGCTGCCACAGGTGCAGCAACATGAATGTATTGCAATGTAGACAAAGACAACACAGGTTCTTTATTTTGTGTGTTGTCATTGTCAAGCAAGCACCATTTAATATCAATGGCTAATCTCTGTATATGCATTGCTCTGTATTATTATTATTAATATTATTATTATTCAGGATTTATATAGCGCCAATAGTTTGCTCAGTGCTTTACAATATAAGGGAGAAAATACAGCAACAATACAGTTCAATACAAGAGGGATAGGAGGGCTCTGCTCCTTGGAGCTTACAATCTAAGAGGGAGGGGCTGGTAGTACAAAAGGTAATAACTGTGGGGGATGGACTGGTAGGAGGAATAGAAGATTTGGTTATTAGCTGAAGGCGGGATAGGCTTCCCTGAAGAGATAGGTTTTCAGAGATCGCCTAAAAGTGGGCAGAGTAGGCGATAGTCTGATAGATTGGGGTAGTGAGTTCCAGAGGATGGGGGAGGCTCTGGAGAAGTCCTGTAGACGAGCATGGGAGGAGGAGACAAGGGAGCTAGAGAGCAGGAGGTCGTGCGAGGAGTGGAGACTACGGTTTGGGTGATATTTGGAGACATGATTGGTGATGTAATTTGGGGCAGAGTTATAAATTGTTTTATATGTTATTGTTAATGTTTTGAATTTTATGTGTTGGGCAATCAGAAGCCAGTGGAGGGATTGGCAGAGAGGGATGGCAGATATGGAACAGTTGGTAAGGTGGATGAGCTTGGCATTAATAAAAAAGTGCATAGCCGTTGTTCTGGTGAATCTGCATGTACATTTATTCTCAAAATCGAATGTTATTTTGGCCATGTTCTCTTCTGAACAAATGTTCTTATATTATGGGCAGTAGGGACATACAGCCACTAAATGGAGCTGAGGCGCATGACAAATACTTTTTAACAACCCTTGCCTTTATCTATTTAACAGCATTTGTAACAATGTGTACAATGTAACAATTCTAGAGACCGGAAGAGGGAAATAGCAAGTAATTGTAATAAAATAGCAAATAAATATATTTATGGTAAGCCAGCTGTAGGGCATGTTCACAGCAAAGGCATTGGGCTGTGCTGGACTAATCTCTATCATGGCAGTTCACACCACCACATTACAATGGTATGTGCTGGAAAAAAAGTAAAACATACACTACTTTTTTCATGTGCAGCATGGCGCAACACAATCCACCACTATGGTCAATAGAACTGAATGAACTGCTACTGTGTTACATTTGAATAAACTTCTAATAACAAAAAGAAAAGGTTACAGTGCAATGCACTGTTTACGGTACGTCTATACCACTACCATTGCAGTTCATGGGTGTGTGCCATCCACTAAACCAGTGATCTCCAAATTGTGGCCCAGGGGCCGGATATGGCCCTTTGCTTGCCTTTATCTGGCCTTTGGAGCACTATTCCACCAACTGACACCAATGATGGGGCACCATTCCTCTTACTGATACCATCAATTGGGCACTATTCATCTCATTGATATTAACAGTGGGACACTATTCTTCCCAATAAAACCAATGATGCCGGGGCATTTTCTTCTCCCACTGGCCACTGTCCAGCCCTCCTAAAGCCTGAAGGTCAGTAAACTGGCCCCTTGCTTGGAAAACTTGGAGAGCCTGCACAAACAGACCTACAGCCCAATTTTAATGTATTCCAATTCCAGCCACAATTGTATTCCTGTGTTGGGGTTGCATTCAAAATGGATTGCACTGCAACACACTGCACAGAGTGGCAAACATTGACATGTGATGTATTAGGCCACTTTCACACTGTAGCAAAAACATGACAAAAACACATGCGTTTTTGATGCATTCTTACCACGTTTGCGGTTTGTTTCTTTTACAGGACATGTGACTCAAAAAACACACCAAAAACGTAACACAAGTGCATTTTTGATGAGATATTCACCCTCTTTATTTAGTCCTATCAATTGTGATCACCAGGACAGAAAGTGACAGGAAATCAAACATTTTTCAGTTGTCACTGGAAGAGGAGATGAGGGGAAATCTTTCAGTGGGGACACCTGGAATATGAAAATTCACTTTCTATATTTAATTAAATTCCTCTGTTGTGTCTTAATCAAGGATATTAATATTTCCTACACTAACCAAAACTAGTTATGGCCGTAAATATAATTAAAGGAAAACCTTTGCTGAGAAGAAAAAAAAAAAATAAAGGCTACCATTGCTGTCCACGTTCTGAAAATCCTGGTTGCCTTTCAGTATGATCTATCTTCTGCTTTACCTCTGACAATACATTTAGAGCCACTGACCTGGAACAAGGTAATAATGTAATAAATAAAGTCAGAACTCCTGATCACCATGCTTTTCCAGGTCAGTGATAAGGGAAAGAAGTAGAGTCATTAGATTTTGATGACAGCCAGGAAATTTGCATTTTCTCTTAGTATAGCACCTCAGCTGTGTGATGCATCTTACCTTTCTGATTGCAAAAGTTATAAAGTTCGTTCATAGGTTTTGTCTTCATCACTTCCTGCAAGAAATGTTGCTGCTCTTTAACCTCCTCTGGGCTGAAGGTTTCATCTATCCCCGTCTTCCTGTCATAATTGTCCATCAGTTTTATGAATGCGGCATAGGTTGGTTTTTCAAACAAGGCTTCATTCACATACTTGTACAACCTGCAGAAAGAGAGCACAGAAAGTTTTCAGCCAGAGACCATAGATCTGTTATCTCAATGATATCCAACATGCTGGAAAATGTATGCAATGATGATTAGTGCCCATCTTGTAAGCACCCAAACTGTCACAAAAATGGTTCTCAGCTATGGATACACTACATCAGGAAGAAAATACCTTTTTAAATGACCTTTTAGTTACATGCATTTTTGCCACATCAAGTGTTTTTCTGCCAAAACTCTCCTCTCCTGAACACGATTCTTCTGCATTCAGGAGAGGAGCATTTTACTGCCTCTAACACTTCTGCTATTAATCCCTGGTAAAAGCCTGTGTGCATGAACACACTGGGGGTTGTGTACTAAAACTGCATGGTGCAAAATCTGGTGCAGCTCTGCATAGAAACCAATCAGCTTCAAGTTTTTATTGTCAAAGCTTAACTGAACAAGCTGAAGTTAGAAGCTGATTATCTACCATGTACAGCTGCTCCAGATTCTGAGTGCTCCAGTTTTAGTAAATCTCCCCTATAGGATTTCATTTAGGTGCGTTCAGGGGCTTAGGCAAAAAATGCCAAAAGTCCCAAAAATGTCAGTTTATGAGCAGCAGTGTGCATAAGCCTTAAGACTTGCATGTGGCGATTGTGGTATAAAAATTCAATGGTTTACTGACTGCACTCTGCATTACTTACTACTGACCCCTGCACTCTGTGATACCTACTACTGACCTCTAAACTCTGCATTACTACTGACCTCTGAACTCTGTGTTACTTACTCCTGCCCCTGAACTATGTATTACATACTGCTGATCTATGACCTCTGCATTACTTACTGCTGACCCCTGCGCTCTGTATTTAACAAAAGTGTTATATCACAATAAACTTTCTTCCAACCGTTAAAAATAAAAGCATTTGTTCTATTCAAACACTACTATAAGAAAAAAGTAGCATTAAAAAAACATCTAGGGGCTTAAACAATAGATTTTTTAGCACAAATCCTTCACTTTCTGTGTTAATCATTGAGTGCTCAGTGTATGTTCTTATTACTAACTGTTCCTTGTTTGAACGGACTGTCCCTGTTCCGGAACTAAATCAGTCTGTTCCTCTTTCCCCCTCAGTTGCCCCTTTCTTTGTTCCGATTTATAGACCACTACCAAATAAATGTACTATTTAATTTTAAAAAGTCTGCTACACATAACCTTTCATCCATCCACTATATTATTGCAAAAAAGACAGGTATACCAATGAAGTTGAGTGGTTCACCACAGGTTTCACTGCAAAGTACCCGGGTGCAGGGCCGATCATACCACTAGGCAAACTGAGCAGGCACCTAGGGCATACTGCTGCTTAGGGGTGCAGCCATGGCCTCTGGTTTCTCTACTCTACGCCATGGCTGGATCTACGGGGGTGCTGGGGTTGTCTAGTACAATCCACACCTCTACCTGGTTTCCCACCTGTAAGTTCGGGAGGGGAAGCTTACAGGCTAGGGGAACTGTACACAATGAAAGGATGGGGAGGAAGGGGTAACAATCATTTGTTTTTGTTGAGGTTTTTGCAGGAGAGGAGATGGGAGTTATTTGTGCTGGGAAGGGTAATAGGGATGATGGGGGGAAATTTGTGCTAGGAGAAGGAATTGGGGGATATGTACTAGGAGTAGGTTTTATTTGGGGGGGAGGTGTTAGCTAGAGGAGGGGGGATTGAAGGAAGAGGATTGGTACTCGGAGTGAGGATTGGGGCGATTTGTGCTAGGAGAGGGGATTAGGGGGATTTGTGCTGGGTGGGGGATTGGGGAAGATGATTTGTGTTAGGAGGGGGGATTGGAGGGGATTTGTGCTAAAAGGGGAGACTTGGGGGGTGCTAGGAAGGGGGATATTGGGGGGGGAATTTGTGCTAGGATAGGGGATTGGGGGGAAATTGTGCTAGAAGGGGGATTAGGGTGGAAAATTTAAGGCTGATGAGGATGTGTGCTAGGAGAGGTGAAGTAGAACTATAGGTGAAGTCTTATGTTTTTTTTGGGGGGGGGAAATGCATGCAGCTGGTCTTGCCTAGGGCGTAAAATAATCTAGCACTGGCCCTGCCAATCCAGCTTGTTGCACTTCAGTGAAGCATCCGGAGAAGAAAATAAACCACCACACTCCAGACTGCAGCAACTTTTCTTGTTTATTGAAAACAGCAGCAGGGGGTCACCTCCATTTTATTCCATTTATTATTTTGAAAATTCAGTGTAAATGAAAAGTAATGGTAAGAAAAACACTTGTAGATTTAACAAATAAGTTTTCATTGTTAATTCTTCATGATCTGCATAACTGGAGGCACGGCAGGGGTGCTAAAAGGTGTCTCAATCCGGTCTCAGAAATATAAGAGGTATGCTAAAGAAAGTGCCGTAAGGTTAATTGTCTATAAAAATCTCATTTAGAAAGTAATGATCATTTATTTTGAGTAACTTACGGTTCATCACAGAGGTCTTCTCTAGTCGTATCTTTCTCTACCATTTCCTGTTTGTTCAATATGATATCTGAATCCTCTGCTTTGTTACTGTCTGATTGATACAACTTTTCTGATATTGCCTTTATCTCTTCACTACTGATGTCAGCATCTAGAAAAACAGGGCAGAAGTTCAAAATGGCTGGTATGACACTAGCAGTCCCAAAGTCCTCTTGTAAGCCTTTGAAATATATGTAAATTAAGAGTGGCCATGCATGGCAAATAGAATCAAGTGATGCAATAGAAATCTAGCCAAAACCTTTTTACTTTAGTTTCTAATAGAATATAAAATTCTTAGACATATGCAGGCCCGGACTGGGACAATAAAATAAGGCTGTGCATTTTGCAGGAAAGAAAGAAAGAGAAAGAAAGAGAAAGAAAGAAAGAAAGAAAGAAAGAAAGAAAGAACAAGAGATAAAGAAAGAAACAGGAGACAGAGAGAGAAAGAAGAGAGAACTATAAAAAGGGGGGCCAGCCATGTGAGGAGCATACTGGAGCCCATGGCATGCAAAAGATGAGGGGTGGCCGGGTGGCACATAGAGGAACCAAGAAATGCACTGTCTGGTTCATCTATGTGCCACCCGGCTGCCCCTCCTATCCAGATGGCCCCGGATCACCAAGCAAAAGCCTGGTGTGTGCCCTATGGCCAGTCCAGGCCTGGACATATAATAAAGCTTATATTGTCATCTGAGTTTAAAGTGGAGCTGTAGGCAAAATTTTTATTTTCATTTTGGATAAAATATGGGAGAATTATAATCCCTGTTAGTTTATTTTTTGCCATCTGTGTCCCATTGAGGAGATTTACCATCACTTCCTGTCCATAGCTAAAACAGGAAGTGAGAAAATCTATGCAAATTAAATGAATTCTTTGGGGACCCCTAGGTCACCAGAACTATGTGTCTCCATTGGGAAATTTCTTTTCATATCCTGTTCCAAGCAGGACCAATACCTGGACCAGGAACAGTATGTAGACAGATGTTTTAACTACTACTGCAATTTATGTAAACATGTTTTTATTGATGTGACCTTGTTGGAGCCTTAATGACTAAGGTGACACCTATTGCCAGAACAGGAATCAATGGTAAATTTCGTAAATGTGAAAATGCACTGCAATAGAAACTTGACTGGGGTTCTAAACACTCTCAACACATCAGTACAATTAATAAACAAAAGTTTTATAAATGACTACTTTTAGGTAAACCAGGAGCCAGGCCATGGACAGATGATACATTTGCATAGTAAGCATTACAGTTCCTATAGTAATTCTATGTGAACGTTTACGGCCACGGTGACTCAAAATCAAGCCCCTCTTTCAGGCTGCCTTGCCAACCCTGACTTTCCCCTTCCCATCTGTGACTTTTTTTCTAATCTGCAGCCATCCATCTGACAGTCTGTGTAATGTAAACAGAGGTTGTGAGAGGAGTGCATGTGTATACATGGCTGGTATGATGATAAAGTATCTGGAGGAATCCAATATGGCGGCACACACAGTGCTCTAACAATGCTATGCAGAGTTCTCGAAGAAGGAAATTTAGGACACCATATTGCCACCCACCACCTAACATGTAGAGAAGCCTTTGAGTCTCTGGTGACAGAAAATACCTCTTTGGGGACTGCTTTCAAAACTGCTTGCTGCTTTGTTCTTCTTGCCATTACTGCTGGTATCTCCACTGCATAGTTCACCATAGTCAGTACAGCAGTTGTTGAATTTAGCACACTTTTTATTGCAGTGGCATGTATTTTTCTTGTTATATTTTTCACCACATCTTCCCTGACAAGAGTATCTGTATGGAGTAAAAAAAGTTGTATTTAGGCATGAATCACCAATGCCAAATTTGTTCTGAAAATGCCAGTTGTCTGACTGCAACACTTTCACAGTCCGAGGTCCTCTTGTAAGCCCTTGAAATATATGTAAAACAAGGGTGGCCATACATGTAAAATAGAGTCAAGTGATGCAATAGAAATCTAGACAAAACTTTTTTACAATAGTTTCTAATAGGATAGAAAATTCTTAGACATATGCAGGCCTGGACTGGGACAAAAAAATAGGCCTGGGCATTTATTTTGGAGGAAAGAGAAAGAAAGAGAAAGAAAGAAAGAAAGAAAGAAAGAAAGAAAGAAAGAAAGAAGAAACAGGAGAAAAAGAAGGTAAAAAGAAAGAAAGAAAGAAAGAAAGAAAGAAAGAAAAGAAAGAAAGAAAGATAAGAAGAGAAACAGGAGATAGAGAGAGAAAGAAGGTAAGAAAGAAAGAAAGAAAGAAAGAAAGAAAAGAAACAGGAGACAGAGAAAGAGAGAGAAAGAAAGTGAAAGGGAAAGAAGGAGAAAGCGAAGGAAAGAAAGAAAAAGAGAGAAAGAAAGAAGAAGAGAAAGAAAGAAGAGGGTGGAGAGAAGACGCAATGCTGGTGGGGGGTGTGGGGACACAGGACACAGGAGGAGAGGGCGGGTGGAGGAGGAGTAGAACCAGCTTTCTCTCTCCTCTCCCTTCTGTGGTGGGTGGGGAACTGTCAGTACCGGGGACAGAATATGCTGACAGATGCTCTGCAGCTCTTCAGGAAGGGGGAACCTGGCGGCAGTGCTGCAGGAGATGAGAGGGGGGCTGGCCGCGGTGTGAGAACATACAGGAGCTCACAGCATGCAGGAGATGGATAGGAGGGGCAGCCGGGTGGCACGTAGAGGAACCGAGAAATGCACGGGCCGGTTCATCTATGTGCTGCCCAGCTCCCCCTCCTATGCAGGTGGCCCTGGCTCACCAAGCAAATGCCTGGTGTGCCTTTAGGCCATATTGTCATCTGAGTTTAAAGTGGCACTGTAGGCAAAATTTTTATTTTCATTTTGGATAAAATATGGGAGAATTATAATCCCTGTTAGTTTATTTTTTGCCATCTGTGGCCCATTGGGGAGATTTACCATCACTTCCTGTCCATAGCTAAAACAGGAAGTGATAAAATCTATGAAAATTAAATGAATTCTTTGGGGACCCCCAGGTTACCAGAACTATGTGTCTCCATTGGGAAATTTCTCCTCTATTACTTTTCTGGGACAACCCACATTTTGAGGTTCCTTTTACTTTCACTCTCAGTGATAGTGGTAAACAGGACAAATAGAGAGGGTGACTCTCCCTAACAGGGACACAGACAGCAATAAAACCTGACAGGTGTTCTAATCCCTCTCCACTCTGTCCAAAAGCTTTAGATATACTTTAATGAGATTTCTTTTCATATCCTGTTCCAAGCAGGACCAACCCCTGGACCAGGAACAGTATGTAGACAGATGTTTTAACTACTACTGCAATTTATGTAAACATGTTTTTATTGATGTGATCTTGTTGGAGCCTTAATGACTAAGGTGACACCTATTGCCAGAACAGGAATCGATGGTAAATTTCCTAAATGTGAAAACACACTGCAATAGAAACTTGACTGGGGTTCTAAACACTCTCAACACATCAATACAAATTATAAAAAAAAGTTTTATAAATGACTACTTTTAGGTAAACCAGAAGCCAGGCCATGGACAGATGACCTAATACATTTGCATAGTAAGCATTACAGTTCCTATAGTAATTCTATGTGAACGTTTACAGCCACAGTGACCCAAAATCAAGCCCCTCTTTCAGGCTGTCCTGCCAACCCTGACTTCCCCCTTCCCATCTGTGACACTGCAACTTTTTAATTCAATCTTTTTTTCTAATCTGTAGCCATCCATCTGACAGTCTGTGTAAACAGAGGTTGTGAGAGGAGTGCATGTGTATACATGGCTGATATGATAAAGTATCTGGAGGAATCCAATATGGCGGCACACACAGTGCTCTAACAATGCTATGCAGAGTTCTTAAAGAAGGAAATTTAGGACATCATATTGCCACCCAACATCTAACATGTAGAGAAGCCTTTGAGTCTCTGGTGACAGAAAATACCTCTTTGGGGACTGCTTTCAAAACTGCTTGCTGCTTTGTTCTCCTTGCCATTGCTGCTTGTATCTCCACTGCATAGTTCACCATAGTCAGTACAGCAGTTGTTGAATTTAGGACACTTTTTATTGCAGTGGCATGTATTTTTCTTGTTATATTTTTCACCACATCTTTCCTGACAAGAGGTATCTGTATGGAGTAAAAAAAGTATTTAGGCATGAATCACAAATGCCAAATTTGTTCTGAAAATGCCAGTTGTCTGACTGCAACACTTTCAGAGCCCAAGGTCCTCTTGTAAGCCCTTGAAATATATGAAAAACAAGGGTGGCTATACATGTAAAATAGAGTCAATAGAAATCTATCCAAAACCTTTTTACTTTAGTTTCTAATAGAATATAAAATTCTTAGACATATGCAGGCCTGGACTGGGACAAAAAATAGACCTGAGCATTTTGTAGGAAAAAAAAAGAGAAAGAGAGAAAGAGAGAAAGAGAGAAAAAGAAAGAAAGAAAGAAAGAAAGAAAGAAAGAAAGAAAGAGAGAAAGAAAGAAAGAAAGAATGAAAGAAAGAAAGAAAGAAAGAAACAGGAGACAGAGCGAGAGAGAGAGACAGAGAGAGAGAGAGAGAGAGAGAGAGAGAGGTAAGAGGAAAAAGAAAAAAGAAAGAAAGAAAGAGAAAGAAAGAAAGAAAGAGAAAGAAAGAGGAGACAGAGAAAGAGAGAGAAAGAAAGCGAAAAGGAAAGAAGGAGAAAGCGAAGGAAAGAAAGAAAAAGAGAGAAAGAAAGAAGAGGGTGGAGAGAAGACGCAATGCTGGTGGGGACTGTGGGGAAGGCGAGAGAGAGAGGGAGAGAGAGAGAGAACGAAAAAGAAAAGAGAGAAACAGGAGGCAGATCGATAGAGAGAGGAAAGAAAGAAAGAAACAGGAGACAGAGAAAGAGAGAGAAAGAAAGCGAAAAGGAAAGAAGGAGAAAGCGAAGGAAAGAAAGAAAAAGAGAGAAAGAAAGAAGAAGAGAAAGAAAGAAGAGGGTGGACAGAAGACGCAATGCTGGTGGGGAGTGTGGGGAAGGCGAGAGAGAGAGAGAGAGGAGAGGAGAGAAGGAGAGAGAATGAAAAAGAAAAGAGAGAAACAGGAGGCAGATCGAGAGAGAGAGAAAGAAAGAAAGGAAAGAAGAGAAAGAAAGAAAGGAAAGAGAGAGAAAGAAAGTGAAAGGGAAAGAAGGAGAAAGCGAAGGAAAGAAAGAAAAAGAGAGAAAGAAAAAATAAGAGAAAGAAAAAAGAGGGTGGAGAGAAGACTCAATGCTGGTGGGGAGTGTGGGGAAGGAGAGAGAGAGAGAGAGAGAACGAAAAAGAAAAGAGTGAAACAGGAGGCAGATCGAGAGAGAGAGAGAGAGAGAGAAAGAAAGAAAGAAAGAAAGGAAGGAAAAGGTAGAAAGAAAGAAGGGGGTGGAGAGAAGACACAAGACTGGTGGGGAGTATGTGTGTGTGTGTGTGTGTGTGTGTGTGTGAGGGGGGGGGGGGGGGAGAAACAGGAGGAGAGGGCGGGTGGAAGAGGAGTAGAACCAGCTTTCTCTCTTCACTCCCTTCTGTGGTGGGTGGGAGCACTGGGGACAGAATATGCTGACACATGCTGCTCCTCAGCTCTTCAGGGAGGGGGGAACCTGGTGGCAGCACTGCAGGAGATGAGAGGGGGGCCGGCCACATGAGGAACATACAGAAGCCCACGGCATGCAGGAGATGGATAGGAGGGGCGGCCAGGTGGCACATAGAGGAACTGAGAAATGCACGGTCCGGTTCATCTACAGCAGTGGTTCTCAACCTTTCTAATGCCGCGACCCCTTAATACAGTTTTTCATGTTGTGGTGACCCCCAACCATAAAATTATTTTCGTTGCTACTTCATAACTGTAATTTTGCAGTGGGAGGACTAGCGCCCCATCACTGATGTCAGTGGGATGAATAGTGTCCCATCATCGGTGTCAGTGGGAGGAATAGTGTCCCATCATTGGTGTCAGTGGGAGGAATAGTGTCCCATCATTGGTGTCAGTGGGAGGAATAGTGCCCCATCATTGGTGTCAGTGGGAGGAACAGTGCCCCATCATTGGTATCAGTGGGAGGAACAGTGCAGTACCCCATCATTAGTGTCAGTGGGGAGGAATAGTGCCCCATCATTGGTGTCAGTGGGGGGAATAGTGTCCCATCATTGGTGCCAGTGGGAGGAATAGTGTCCCATCATTGGTGTCAGTGGGAGGAATAGTGTCCCATCATTGGTGTCAGTGGGAGGAATAGTGTCCATCATTGGTTTCAGTGGGGGGAATAGTGCCCCATCATTGGTATCAGTGGGGGGAATAGTGCCCCATCATTGGTATCAGTGGGAGGAATAGTGCCCCATCATTGGTGTCAGTGGGGGGAATAGTGTCCCATCATTGGTGTCAGTGGGAGGAATAGTGTCCCATCATTGGTGTCAGTGGGGGGAATAGTGCCCCATCATTGGTATCAGTGGGGGGATAGTGCCCCATCATTGGTATCAGTGGGAGGAATAGTGCCCATCATTGGTATCAGTGGGAGGAATAGTGCCCCATCATTGGTGTCAGTGGGAGGAATAGTGCCCCATCATTGGTGTCAGTGGGAGGAATAGTGCCCCCCATCATTGGTGTCAGTGGGAGGAATAGTGCCCCATCATTGGTGTCAGTGGGAGGAATAGTGCCCCATCATTGGTGTCAGTGGGAGGAATAGTGCCCCATCATTGGTATCAGTGGGAGGAATAGTGCCCCATCATTGGTGTCAGTGGGAGGAATAGTGCCCCATCATTAGTATCAGTGGGAGGAATAGCGCTCCATCATTGGCGTCAGTGGGAGAAATAGTGCCCCATCGTTGGTGTCAGTGGGGGGAGGAATAGTGCCCCATCGTTGGTGTCAGTGGGGGGAGGAATAGTGCCCCATCGTTGGTGTCAGTGGGGGGAGGAATAGTGCCCCATCGTTGGTGTCAGTGGGGGGAGGAATAGTGCCCCATCGTTGGTGTCAGTGGGGGGAGGAATAGTGCCCCATCGTTGGTGTCAGTGGGGGGAGGAATAGTGCCCCATCGTTGGTGTCAGTGGGGGGAGGAATAGTGCCCCATCATTAGTATCAGTGGGAGGAATAGCGCTCCATCATTGGTGTCAGTGGGAGGAATAGTGCCCCATCATTAGTATCAGTGGGAGGAATAGCGCTCCATCATTGGTGTCAGTGGGAGGAATAGCGCCCCATCGTTGGCGTCAGTGGGAGGAATAGCGCCCCATCGTTGGTGTCAGTGGGGGGGAGGAATAGTGCCCCATCGTTGGTGTCAGTGGGGGGAGGAATAGTGCCCCATCGTTGGTGTCAGTGGGGGGAGGAATAGTGCCCCATCGTTGGTGTCAGTGGGGGGAGGAATAGTGCCCCATCGTTGGTGTCAGTGGGGGGAGGAATAGTGCCCCATCGTTGGTGTCAGTGGGGGGAGGAATAGTGCCCATCGTTGGTGTCAGTGGGGGGAGGAATAGTGCCCATCGTTGGTGTCAGTGGGGGGAGGAATAGTGCCCATCGTTGGTGTCAGTGGGGGGAGGAATAGTGCCCCATCGTTGGTGTCAGTGGGGGGAGGAATAGTGCCCCATCGTTGGTGTCAGTGGGGGGAGGAATAGTGCCCCATCGTTGGTGTCAGTGGGAGGAATAGTGCCCCATCATTGGTGTCAGTGGGAGGAACAGTGCCCCATCATTGGTATCAGTGGGAGGAACAGTACCCCATCATTAGTGTCAGTGGGAGGAATAGTGCCCCATCATTGGTGTCAGTGGGGGGAATAGTGTCCCATCATTGGTGTCAGTGGGAGGAATAGTGTCCCATCATTGGTGTCAGTGGGAGGAATAGTGTCCCATCATTGGTGTCAGTGGGAGGAATAGTGTCCCATCATTGGTGTCAGTGGGGGGAATACTGCCCCATCATTGGTATCAGTGGGGGGAATAGTGCCCCATCATTGGTATCAGTGGGAGGAATAGTGCCCCATCATTGGTGTCAGTGGGAGTAATAGTGTCCCATCATTGGTGTCAGTGGGAGGAATAGTGTCCCATCATTGGTGTCAGTGGGGGGAATAGTGCCCCATCATTGGTATCAGTGGGGGGAATAGTGCCCCATCATTGGTATCAGTGGGAGGAATAGTGCCCCATCATTGGTATCAGTGGGAGGAATAGTGCCCCATCATTGGTGTCAGTGGGAGGAATAGTGCCCCATCATTGGTGTCAGTAGGAGGAATAGTGCCCCATCATTGGTGTCAGTGGGAGGAATAGTGCCCCATCATTGGTGTCAGTGGGAGGAATAGTGCCCCATCATTGGTGTCAGTGGGAGGAATAGTGCCCCATCATTGGTGTCAGTGGGAGGAATAGCGCCCCATCATTAGTATCAGTGGGAGGAATAGCGCCCCATCATGGCGTCAGTGGGAGGAATAGTGCCCCATTGTGGGTGTCAGTGGGGGGAGGAATAGTGCCCCATCGTTGGTGTCAGTGGGGGGAGGAATAGTGCCCCATCGTTGGTGTCAGTGGGGGGAGGAATAGTGCCCCATCGTTGGTGTCAGTGGGGGGAGGAATAGTGCCCTATCGTTGGTGTCAGTGGGGGGAGGAATAGTGCCCCATCGTTGGTGTCAGTGGGGGGAGGAATAGTGCCCCATCGTTGGTGTCAGTGGGGGGAGGAATAGTGCCCCATCGTTGGTGTCAGTGGGGGGAGGAATAGTGCCCCATCGTTGGTGTCAGTGGGGGGAGGAATAGTGCCCCATCGTTGGTGTCAGTGGGGGGAGGAATAGTGCCCCATCGTTGGTGTCAGTGGGGGGAGGAATAGTGCCCCTTCGTTGGTGTCAGTGGGGGGAGGAATAGTGCCCCATCGTTGGTGTCAGTGGGGGGAGGAATAGCGCCCCATCGTTGGTGTCAGTGGGGGGAGGAATAGCGTCTCATCGTTGGTGTCAGTGGGGGAGGAATAGCGCCCCATCGTTGGTGTCAGTGGGGGAGGAATAGTGCCCCATCGTTGGTGTCAGTGGGGGAGGAATAGTGCCCCATCGTTGGTATTAGTGACACAAATGATGGGGCACTATCCCTCCCACTGACACCAATGATACTTACCTTGCTGACTCCTGCTCCAGCCTGGGCTCGCTCTCTCCCTCTCCCATCTACAACCTGCATACCTGGCTGCAGCAGCAAAATTTGCACTTACCTGTCAGCTGTCTTCCTTCTCTGGCCTCTCTCTTCACTCGTTCCTGCAGCTCCCTCGATCTTCTTCGATCTCCGCGCGCTGCCGCTCGGCTCCTCCTCTCCAAGCTCCACCTCCTCGCCGGTGATTGGCCGCCTGTGTGCCTCTCCTGAGCTACAGTTCCGGTGGCCAATCAGCGGCGAGGAGCTGGTGACAGGGGCAGCATATCATCCCGCCCACACATCGCCGGAGACAGGAGCGGTGTCTCGGTTCCTAAGACCATCGGAAATATGTGTTTTCCGATGGTCTTAGGCGACCCCTGGGAAATGGTCGTTCGACCCCCAAAGGGGTCGCGACCCCCAGGTTGAGAACCGCTGATCTACAGTATCTCACAGAAGTGAGTACACCCCTCACATTTTTGGAAATATTTTATATCTTTTCATGTGACAACACTGAAGAAATGACTCTTTGATACAATGTAAAGTAGTGAGTGTACAGCTTGTATAACAGTGTAAATTTGCTGTCCCCTCAAAATGACTCAACACACCATTAATGTCTAAACCCCTGGCAACAAAATTGAGTACACTCCTAAGTGAAAATGTCCAAATTGGTGACAATTAGCCATTTTTCCTCCCCGATTTCATGAAATTCTTTAGTGTTACAAGGTCTCAGGTGTGAACGGGGAGCAGATGTGTTAAATTTGGTGTTATCGCTCTCACTCCCTCATACTGGTCACTGGAAGTTTAATATGGCACCTCATGGCAAAGAACTCTCAGAGGATCTGAAAAAAAGAAGTGTTGCTCTACATAAGTAGCAAAGTGTAATTTCGTCAGTGTCGTCACATGAAAAGATATAATAAAATATTTACAAAAATGTGAGGGGTGTACTCACTTCTGTGAGATACTGTATGTGCCGCCCGACTCCCCCTCCTATCCAGGTGGCCCCGGCTCACCAATCAAATGCCCTGTGTGCCCTATGGTCAGTCCAGGCCTGGGCATATAATAAACCTTATATTGTCATCTGAGTTTAAAGTGGAACTGTAATCAAATTTTTTATTTTCATTTTGGATAAAATATAGGAGAATTATAATCTCTGTTAGTTTATTTTTTTGCGATCAGTGTCCCATTGGGGAGATTTACCATCACTTCCTGTCCTATAGCTAAACCAGGAAGTGATAAAATCTCTGCAAAATAAAGGAATTCCTTGGGGACCCCCAGGTCACCAGAACTATGTCTTCATTGGGAAATTTCTCCTCTATTACTTTTCTGGGACAACCCACATTTTGGGGTTCCTTTTACTTTCACTCTCAGTGATAGTGGTAAACAGGACAAATAGAGAGGGTGACTCTCCCTAACAGGGACACAGACAGCAATAAAACCTGACAGGTGTTCTAATCCCTCTCCACTCTGTCCAAAAGCTTTAGATATACTTTAATGAGATTTCTTTTCATATCCTGTTCCAATCAGGACCAACCCCTGGACCAGGAACAGTATGTAGACAGATGTTTTAACTACTACTGCAATTTACGTAATCATGTTTTTATTGCTGTGACCTTGTTGGAGCCTTAATGACTAAGGTGACACCTATTGCCAGAACAGGAATCGATGGTAAAATTTCCTAAATGTGAACTGCAATAGAAACTGCACTGCACATCAATACAAATAATAAAAAAAAGTTTTGTAAACTTCTACTTTTAGGTAAACCAGGAGCCAGGCCATGGACAGATGACATAATACATTTGCATAGCAGTACAGTTCCTATAGTAATTCTATGTAAAAGTTTATGGCCACGGTGACTCAAAATAAAGCCCCTCTTTCAGGCTGCCTTGCCAACCCTGAGTTCCCCCTTCCCATCTGTGACACTGCAACTTTTTAAATTAATATTTTTTTTTCTAATCTGTAGCCATCCATCTGACAGTCTGTGTAAACAGAGGTTGTGAGAGGAGTGCATGTGTATACAGGGCTGATATGATAAAGTATCTGGAGGAATCCAATATGGCGGCACACACAGTGCTCTAACAATGCTATGCAGAGCTCTAAAAGGAGGAAATTTAGGACACCATATTGCCACCCACCACCTAACATGTAGAGAAGCCTTTGAGTCTCTGGTGACAGAAAATACCTCTTTGGGGACTGCTTTCAAAACTGCTTGCTACTTTGTTCTCCTTGCCAGTGCTGCTGGTATCTCCACTGCATAATTCATCATAGTCAGTACAGCAGTTGTTGAATTTAGAACACTTTTTATTGCAGTGGCATGTATTTTTCTTGTTATATTTTTCACCACATCTTCCCTGACAAGAGGTATCTGTATGGAGTAAAAAAAGTTGTATTTAGGCATGAATCGCCAATGCCAAACTTGTTCTGAAAAGGCCAGTTGTTTGGCTGCAACACTTTCAGAGCCACTGACCCACTACAACATGTATTTAGTGATGTAGGTAGTAATCCTAATCTGCATATATATTTTGGGTTATTGACTCTAAAACCCATAGGCTTAACATTACAGACAGGCAACTGGCCTATAAATAAGAGGAGTTCAGTAATGGAAGCCTACATATTTTATCATTATAGGTGTCCTTTAACTATTCCCCATTTTATGTCATGTAAGTTTTATTTTCAATATATCTTTATTGAAAAAAAGGTAAAATAACAGGTATTGCATATCCCGTATAAAGTCATTTTGTTTACAGAGAAAATATCTGTCTTTATTGCCTTCTCTTCACAATTTGTTAAATGACAATCCCCAGCATGATACACAGTTCTGGAGATACATTAATAACCTCCTCTTCTCCCTTTGAGAGCTAGCAACTGCCACTTTGCACAGTTTGTGGATGGCACTGACAGCTCAGGTCCCCAATAGCTATTTGAAACCATGAAAATTGAGAAGTTAAAGTGGTTGTAAAGGCTGAAGGTTTTTTACCTTTATGCATAGAACATGCAGCATCCCCCTTAATACTTAACTGAGCCCCCTCTCGATCCAGCTATTTGCACGGAGCATCAGCTCTCCTGGGACTCTCCCTTCTCATTGACTGAGACAGCAGCGGGTGCCATTGGCTCCTGAAACTGTCAATCACAGCCAGTGAGCCAATGAGGAGAGAGTGGGCAGTGGCTGAACCATGATCTGTGTGTGTGAAAGGACAAGCTGCTTGCTATGGGTGCATTACGCAGGACGGGGTGGTCAGGAGCACTGGTGAGGGACCCGAGAAGAGGATCAAGGCTGCTCTGTACAAAACCATTGCACAGAACAGGTAAGTATAATATGTTATAAAAAACAAAAAAAAACAAAAACAAACAAACAAACCTTTAATATCACTTTAAGACTTTAGCCTGTGGATGAACACTGCCACCTTCAGGCTGAAGTGGGATCTGAAGTGCCTTACATTTAATAGTGTAATTTGAGATATACAATTAAATTATTAAAAAAAAATAATTTTAAAAATTATTTAAAATAATAGTAACTAAATTGTAATAATAAACAAATATAAATATAATTTATAAACAAAACTTACTTTGAAAACAATAAGCACACTGATGAGGTACTGTAACCTACTCTAGATAAATATCAACCACAATAGAAAGATTAAAAAATATATTGTGGGCGAGTTTATTAATATAAAGAATCACTGATATCTGAATCCTATTTACAGTATATGCACAAAAGAGAGATCCATGGGGTATCTACTGTTGTTGGAACAAGGACATATATTATATATGTGCATGGTCATATTGTACTGGGAGTGGGCATCAAATATTGATATAAAAATAGAGAATGAGTACCGGCATAATCTACCTACTTGACATACACTAATTCGGAGTCAGTAGTTTGGCTATTGAATATAAGGATGCTCATATACACTGGAAGCAAGTTAAAAAATGTTGATACTGATATAGTATTGTAAAGTTAACAGATGCATACTGATGGTACTAAATCTGGCCAGGATATCTAGGCATCATTGACCTATGATCATGTAAGGGTTAACTATTCTGTTTATATAGGTTTTACCACTGCTTTGTGGATAACATCTTCATTCTTTTTTATGTCTGCGCTTTTTGCTTGTTCTGCGTGCTGGTAGCTACTCTGAAGCAGCAGACTTTTAAAATAGTGGCTATCAATTGTATTACCAGTACATTGTTGCATTTCTAGATTTTTAGTGATGGTCTGGCTATTTGTTTACAACTGTTTTACACCATTCAGCCTCTCCATATTCTTTTTTTAAGGTATTGATATAATTTTAGTGCAGAAATGGCAACATGATAGTCCACATATAAATTATAATAAGACACCGAGTTCAAAAAAATCTCTCCCTTTCACCTTTTAAGGTCAGATATGGTTTTCTTATAAAACTAGAATAAAGAAGTGTTGTCTAACAAGCTTGGAGTAGTGATCCTGCAACCGCAACATTTACCATTAAAGTTGATTAGATCATTTATTGCACACAAAAATATTCAACACTTTGCTGACAGTACTACAGCGATTTGTGTTGACAATACATACCTTCCAGCTGGACCTTATTTGGAGGGACAGATCATCTTTTGCAACTAAATCAATTCTATCCCTCCTTCCTCTTAAGTTTGATCACTTTGTAGTCTTAGTTTAAAACTCCATAAATACACGTTTTATTTATCTGAAGTACAAGCCAAAGTACTAGGTGTCATTCTGGACCCCAATCTGTCTTTCCAGCCCCAGATCCAATTGCTGACAAATTCATGCAGACTCACCTCCGCAACATCTCCAAAATACTCACGTTCCTAACTCCTGAAACCACAAAGCAACTCATTCACTTCCTTATCATATCACGACTTGACTACTGCAACTCCCTCTTCGCCGGCCTACCCCAACACAAGCTATCCCCGCTTCAGTCTATCCTGAATTCTGCGGCCAGACTCATCCATCTCACCAACCGCTCCGTATCCGCCTCCCCCCTCTGCCAATCCCTCCACTGGCTTCCGATTGCCCAACACATAAAATTCTAAATACGTACAAAGCTATCCATAACACTGCCCCAAACTACATCACCGACCTGATATCCATCTACCACCCAAAACGCACTCTTTGCTCCTCACAAGACCTCCTACTCTCCAGTTCCCTGGTCTCCTCCTCCCATGCCCATCTCCAGGACTTCTCCAGGGCCCCCCCCCATTCTCTGGAACTCACTACCCCAATCTGTCAGACTGTCACCTTCCCTCCTCATCTTTAGGCGCACCCTGAAAACCCATCTCTTCAGAGAAGCCTCCCAAGCCCTCACCTAATTGCTGATCTCCTCCGCTCTTTCCACCACTCCATCCCCCACAGCTATTTCCTCCTGTACCACTCTCCCCCTCCTCCTAGATTGTAAGCTCCAAGGAGCAGGGCCCTCGAACCCCCCATGTATCGCATTGTATTGTTACTGTACGGTCTCATGTACTGTCTCCCATTATAATGTACAGCGCTGAGCAAACGTTTAGCGCTATATAAATACTGTATAATAATAATAATAATAATTGCATTTTGTTAAAAATGTGCATTTGATACCTCGATCATATTTGCCTCTGTGTAACTCTGTTTTCCCTCCATCTCTCAAAATGTTATACTTATGTACCTGTGTTTTTTCTCCCCACCTTTGTAAGGACACCATTCCTACAGTAACCAACAACTTTGTTTACATGTTTATGGATTGTCCAATATTATCTGTTCCAACCCCCTGTCAAAAACCAATAAAATTATTTGAACAAGAAACATCCACAAGAAAATATAGAGAACTAAGCAAGCACAAATGTGAAGACCAATAAAACTAATTTTAAGTAAAAAATAATAATGTGCATTTGAAAATTTCTAGTGTAAAGGGATGGTAGTGTTGGCAAAAGCATTGGTGAGCTTGACCACAAGTGATCGTTGGTTCTTGAAACTGAAGGCATGGCTGGAGTGTATCAACTGCCTAAACATTTTGTGCTATGAGGTGTCCCTCGTATGTCAGGGGAACTGGTAGTTATAGCCAGTACAGTACTGTTGTTACTATGGGTTTAGGCAAGCTGAATCATGTACACATATGTTTGCTAATATGCTTTATAAGCAAGCTTCAGTTTTTAAAGAGAACCTGCAGTGAGCAGAAATTTAGAACCTTGGCTTCCATATTGAAATTTAGAACCTTGGCTTCCATATTTTGTGATTCATCAACTCAGAACAAGCATGAACTGGGAGTGATGTCAGAACTCCTTATCTGGGTCAGTGACTCTGAAAATATCAAAAGCCAATCACAGCCAGGCAACTAAAAGTTGCAAAAGATATCAGCAATAGCACCCTATGTATTTCTCTTGCTACAAGTTAATCACTAGTGTAACACTATTACCCCCAGAGTTAAGCAACTAACTTTTCGAGAAGAGGTCAGCAATGGCATCCTATTTTTTTCTCTCACTACAAGCTAATCACCAGTTTAACATTATTACCCCAAGGGGTCTATGATATGACCCCCAAACAGTCTTATAGGGTTCACTTTCCCAGCTCATTTCCTTTAATGGAGCTCCCAGGCACATCCAATCTCTTGATTGTATCCTTGGTATGTTGTGGTTTAGAGGAAGATAGTGCCAATCACCAATTTTATTGCAGAGTACTTATGGGAGACAGGGTGAGAGAGAGCTTCTAAAGTTTACCTTCTATAGTTTTAGCACATTGCAGGTCAACAGAGCATGCTCTAGGGATTTATTCTCTCATAGGACCAATTCAGCTTTACTCCTCCTAAGTATGCAGCTGCAGATGCCTCCTTGTTGGTCACAGTTGATCAGATAGCACACTTTGGTTTGGCTCGTTCACTGAGGTACTTATAGTAGAAGTCCAGGAAAGAGAGAACCAATTTGAATGGTTGTCCCAAATGTTTATCATTTTCCCAAGCTCACACCAATGAGCTATACTCCTCAGTCAGTGGCTGGGATTTATAACTTAGAACACTTTTGACTACTGGAAAATGCTCATCAGGAACCATGAATACCCTGAACTTAGGCACTCCCTGGAAATGCAGAAACTAAAACAAACCACTGCAAAGCCCCTACGCTGGTAAACCAGTAACAGGCAAGAAAAGAGGTGCTATTCATTCCTATCCAATCCAATGTTCCATTCAAATCAAAGACCTCTGTAATATTTTAATACTCCCGACTTTGTAGAGGACAGTTTGTGTTTGTGCAAGAACAACATAATTGTTTAAACACAATTTTTAAACATATTACCTGATTTTGTATGGTGAGCGGCTTCATTAAAGTTTGGATCAATATCTGTAAACGCCAAAATAATAAAATCAATAAAAGAAAAACATAAGCAGAACATTAGGGATTA